AGTATGACATCCCAAATATCCCTCTATTGCCACTCACTTTTAGGGAATATCTTCTTTATGACAAATTAAAATCGTCCTTCCTATAATTCAAGCTCATTCTACTTAGGTCTGTCTTTCAAGGAGATAACTTAAGGATCTAACATACCTGTCATTTTGTTGCTTTATTGATTTTTAGCTGAAATTCTGTAATAAAAAATAAAGAGAAATACAAGTAAATTTGAAAACAGATTCCCCCCATGCTTCTTGAATCCTTCCTCACTCCTGCCAATATATCCATTTTTACTGCCCTTTTCAGTGCCTCTCTAATTGTTCCATGTTCAGAATGAACTGTGGAGAAAACATTACTAGTTTAGAGTGTTTAGTTTAGTACTCTAAACTAAGAGCTCAATGGCTAAGTTTAAGAAAAGTAGTACTCCAGAAAAAAGAATGAAGTTTTGCCATTTGCAACAGCAGTGGACTTGGAGGGCATTATGCTAAGTGATGTCAGTCAGACAGAGAAAGACAAATACTGTATGATGTCACTCTATGTGGAATCTAAAATATACAACTAGTGAATATAACAAAAAGGAAACAGACTCACAGATACAGAGAACAAACTAATGGTTACCAGTGGGGAGAGGGAAGGGGAGGGACAAAATGGGGTAAGGGTGTTAAAAGGTACAAACTATTATGTATAAAATAAATAAGCTACAAGGATATATTGTGCAACATAGGGCATACAGCCAATATTTTATAATAACTATAAATGGAGTATAACCTTTAAAAATTGTGAATCATAATGTTGTACACCTGTTATTTATATAATATTGTACAACTATATCTCAATAAAAAAAGTTTTAAATAAAAAGTACAAAACTGTTGACACATTAAATGTGTACAATGCTATGATTTGAGTCTAACAATTATTCTTTTTTTTTTAGCATCTTTATTGGAGTAAAATTGCTTTATAATGGTGTGTTAGCTTCTGCTTTATAACAAAGTGAATCAGCTATACATATACATATATCCCCATAACCTCTCCCTCTTGCGTCTCCCTCCTACCCTCCCTATCCCACCCCTCTAGGTGGTCACAAAGCACCAAGCTGATCTCCCTGTGCTATGTGACTGCTTCCCACTAGCTATCTATTTTACATTTGGTAGTGTAGATATGTCCATGACACTCTCTCACTTCGTCCCAGGTTACACTTCCCCCTCCCCAGGTCCTCAAGTCCATTCTCTATGTCTGTGTCTTTATTCCTGTCCTGTCCCTAGGTTCTTCAGAACCCTTTTTTTTAGATTCCATATATGTGTGTTAGCATATGGTATTTGTGTTTCTCTTTCTGACTTACTTCACTCCATACGACAGACGCTAGGTCCATCCACTTCACTACAAATAACTCAGTTTCGTTTCTTTTTATGGCTGAGCAATATTCCATTGTATATATGTGCCACATCTTCTTTATCCATTCATCTGTCAATGGACACTTAGGTTGCTTCCATAACAATTACTCTTATCTTGAATTTGTGTGATAAACTCTTAACCATTATTAAATTTCATGATGTTTTTGTTGACCACTGATGGAATTTATTTTCTATTTGCACATATGTAATTTCATAGATTGTTACAATACATTAAGGCTTAAATGCATACTTGGGTAAGGTGAAAACATATTTTGGAATCCATTATTACCAAAGACTCTAGAATTCTATAATATGATGAAGGAACCATTCTGTGACACTATTAGCAATACTCATAAATGCTACTATAATCTAGCATTTTCAAGACTCTATACATAGATAATAGCTTATGAAAATTACTTCTAAGAACAAATATGCTTAACTACCGGCCTTGGGATTATTAAGTACAAGCAATATTTTAAATTATATAGAAATGGTGATGCTTATTAATGTCACTTTATGACCAAGATATGTTTAATATGAAGTTTCTATTTTAATTTTTAAAAAAACTATATTACTATTTTAAAACCAATTGTCATTGGCCCTGCTAAAAAGCTAGTAACTTGTGTATCCTGCATACTGTGTTCAGTACATATTCAGTAAGTACTTAGTTGACAAGGAGCAGAAGTAAGGAAAATGCCAACAGTCTAATTCTTATTTCTAGATCCACAATGCCAGTAGGACAAGAGGTATACAGCCTTGATTGTCACTTAGAGGGATATAGTTTGCTTCTCTTTAGTCCTTGCACAAAGAAAAATAGTACAGAGCAATGGCTCTAAAAGCTTACTTCTGATGAAATACTACTCAGAGCCTCAAAAGAAAAAGAGACAAAAATGGACATGCTCTGCAGCCACCAACATTACCCAAGGTGGCTCCTGAAGAACTTCTTTGACTGGAAAATACAATTTGAAAATTACTAATATAGTGGACAGGAACACTGGATTAAGAGTCACAAGACCTGGGTGCACATGCTAGATATTCCAACTACTTGCTGTGCAACAGTTTTCAAAGGTGTTTCTTTTTTTTTTTTTTTGTGGTACGCGGGTCTCTCACTGCTGTGGCCTCTCCCGTTGCGGAGCACAGGCTCCAGACGCACAGTCCCCGGACGCACAGGCTCAGTGGCCATGGCTCACAGGCCCAGTCGCTCCGCGGCATGTGGGATCCTCCCAGACCGGGGCACGAACCCGTGTCCCCTGCATTGGCAGGCGGACTCTCAACCACTGCGCCACCAGGGAAGCCCTCAAAGGTGTTTCTTAACCTCTCTTGCACTTGGCTTTCCCATCCATTATATGGTCCCATATAACTGGTCAGGAAGAAAGTTAGATAAGGTGCTGTACATACAAAAGAACCTTATAAAGTGTGATCTACAATGTAAATATAAAGTATATTATAATTAACGGCCCACATGCCATGCAATAAGTAAAAACACTTTTCCCTCCCTACCACTCCCCTTCCCAAGACAACTTACTTATTTCACATATAACAAAGGAGTTTAAGGCTATCAAAATGAAAGCCCAAAAGTCAGATTAAAAGGAAAAAGTGGGAAGGGCAGCACATATAGATTTGTTTTCTATGGCTTTTCAGGATAATTCAAGTTAAGTTCATCTCCTACAACTTACCTAAAAGAAGGACTCCACCAAAATATCCACTGGTTTTTTATTTTAAATTTCCACTAACCTATTTTTTTTTTTTTTTTTTTTTTTTTTGGCGGTACGCAGGCCTCTCACTGTTGTGGCCTCTCCCATTGCGGAGCACAGGCTCTGCACGCGCAGGCTCAGCGGCCATGGCTCACGGGCCCAGCCGCTCCGCGGCATGTGGGATCTTCCCAGACCCGGGCACGAACCCATGTCCCCTGCATCGGCAGGCGTACTCTCAACCACTGTGCCACCAGGGAAGCCCCACTAACCTATTTTTAATAAACATTATTTGCAAGCATTTTTAATCGAAGTACACTATGGACACTCTTTTCTCTAGGCCCACATGAGCTTTCACAATTATTAGGTATGTTATCAATGCCCATACCAGATACCCTCAATCATGAAAAATGAATGATAAGGAAAAAGAATATTATTCATTTGTTAGATACAGACAACTCAAATGATTTAATAAATATGACAAAGCTGCAAAACTTCTTAGGAAAACTATTTGAAAGAGTTGGCACTGAGTCTCTTTAAATATACTATCAGTGATAAAGATTATAGCTCTTTAATTATAACGCCTATACATAAATGCATAGTTTTTGTTATAAATCATGTTACAAAGGTCTTACACATAAAACTATTTACTTTATCTTTCCTGCAACCTTATATCTATAAAAAATTTTGAAAAGTGGTTAGGGGAATTTTTTTTGCACACTTTGGTGGACTTTTATAAAACCACAGGTTTGAAATGGAGGAAATAGCTCCAGTTTATTTCTCTTGAGTCTTGGTTAAGTCTCTTAACCAGCAAACTGTATGGTTATCGTCCCACAGAAGCTGCAGACTGAAGAAATGTTAAAAGAGCAATGTTTTACCACCTTGAATGGGCTGCATTTCAATTGCATTCCAACTGTGTGGGAAGGTAAGAAAGTAATTCAATTCGGGTACAAGCATAATCTCAAAAACCAATAATGATGAACAGCTTACTCAGACTCTATGCCTATCCCTCTGATGCCCCTCCCACTACCACCTCTGCACTTTTCACCTTTCTGAATGCCAACGGAAAGCCTCTTTAAAGTACTGCTGTAGTGGAAGCAGAAGTTCACACACCAAACTGCTGCACCTTCTTACATAACCAACCCATTATTGAGTAGGGGAATTATGACATCAGCAGTATGTTAGCCAATTACTCTACTCAATAGTTAGTACCCACTGATTCTCACACTCCTGTGTCATTGGCTGAATTTCATAAGGATAGCTGCTATATTTTACTATCTTTAATTTGAACTAATTCTGATACAGGATTGATGCTTGGTAATCCATGAAACAACTATGGATATGAATGTGGCATATGCACTTAGCTGAGTGCCATTTTAGAATGCCAAAGTCAGGCATCATGCAGGGTGACACAAGAGTACCAAAGGGACAGCAAAAGACTAACATATGAGGCTCATATTTGTTTTCATTAGACCACCCTGAGAAGTGCCTAGAAATTTCACATTATAGGAGCCTCAATGCCCTTTCACACTATTTCCTGCACTAGCTGCTAGTACTTTTCAATGCAGCATGCCTTTAATCCTACTTCGGGTGGGCTGCGGAGGTGGATAGGAAGGACGCATTCTCTTGAGGTTTTCTTAGCCCCACAGAGAGCTAATAAGCTATCTGAAGCATTTAAAAATATTAACTGTAACCGTATAATGTGAGGAACAGCTCCAATACTTTGTCTTAAACATATACAAGTAGTAAAAGAAAAGTTCCTTACCATATTAGCTATTGTCAACCATCAAGAAAGGAAAAACCTATCTCAAAATCTCACATTTTAAAAAGTTACTGAAAAAATTCAGACATGAGACGCCATATTTGACATATTAAAATACTCTATGTTTTGTGTACATTCATAATTTATAGAGAACATGGATCAATTACCTCATATTCTTTCCATGAGCCAAACTCAATGTATTCTCTACCATAAAATGCCAGAATGACCAAGTGGCCTAAAATGTTAAAAGCAAGAAGAATTAGGTTAACATTAAAAATGAATTCTTTGATATCTAGAAGATATATGATTATTTTAAATTATTGAATTTGTGGATAAATACTAATTACCATACAAATGAATTATTTTTAAAGTATTTCTTTGTATAACTATATTTTTTAAAGTTTCCTATTTAGCCAAAAAAAAAAATGTTATATTGATTTTACAGAAAAGGAGAACTTTTACTTTTCAAAGAATCAGAATTCAAGTAAACATATTAATCTAATAATCAGGAAAAATTTAAGTGAGGGAAAATAATGAAGAGAAGAATTCTCTGAAAAAACCTATGCTTTTAAATTGTGAAGATGAGAGACCAGCCAGTTTTGAGAACAGCCCGATATAGAGAGGCAAAAGTGAGAATGGATTAGCAGCTGACATAACTTTGCTCATTCCTTAAAAATAATTAAATAAGATTTATTTCTTAAAAATAAACAAGCAGAAACAACATACAAACAGGTCACAAACCAGAGAAATTAATAAGATATACATGATTATTCAGTTTTATGGAAATTTTAAAAAGAAATCTTTGGTTGAAAGACAAATGGGCAATGTTATTTTAAAACTAATGATTTTTACTGGCTAATAAATTAAATTTAGGGTAACACTTACATATAAAAATGTAAGTAAGTATATTGTTTATATATTGTCATACCGTTTTTGCCCTAAATTTGGCCCATGATGTCAGAGATAAATTTAGTCCAAAGTATTCTGATAATTTAGTCAACTGTAAACAGCATCATAGCTGCCTGGCGTGATTTAGTTTTGTTTGTTTTCTTTTTTTCTTTAAAGGTAAAGGTGACATTAAGTGACAGTTGCCATAAATTTTTATGTCGGTCCATTAAACTCAGAAAAATAACAAAGCAAACAGGCACAGCTGAGTATATATGAACAGGGAACAGTCTAAATACACATTTTCGGGGTGACTTGAACATGACAAGACAAGGATCACTAAAGTAATCACAGGTGTTTGCTGTGTATTTAGGCGATTACAAGTCAGATACAGCAAAAATGCAATAATCTACACTAATTAACACACCAGAGTTCTCAGAAAGAACTCGGCAATTTTAACCCTATTATCAGATTTTCCTGTTACCTTATTATCATTATGACATATATTTTCTGACATGAGATATTACTGTACATATTTATTATAAATTAAGTGACTAAATACTTCATAACAACTTTGAGCAAAATGACTATGAGTTATACATACCCATAATCAGATGTTTCTAAGATAATTCTACCAAGTCCTTTAGCTTGGATTCTTTTCTCCAACCACCCTCACCTGTACTTAATTTGAGTGACTATCAAGTAAGAAAATTCAAGCTAATCTACAGTTATGTGTGTCCTCTACTCCTCTCCAAACAGGTTACAAGTAAAATCTCCTCTTTGAAGACATCTTTCGCCACCTCATTCTGAAACTAACACAATTGCTCAGGATCTCTTCATGTCTTGAATTATTACAAGTTTCTCAGACTCCATATCAGATCACTAATAATACAAATTGTCTTTGCCATTAATCATTTTAACTTTAAGATCCAATTAATTTCTTAAAGGCTGTTCTCATATAATATTATTCAATCACTTATTTAAAAAAGAATTGCAACTATGCTAGGCGCCACACATACAAATATTAAATATACACGGTCCACACACACAAGTAGCTCACTCACTACCATGCCAATCACAGCAAGATGCACCCTCCCTCAAAACTCTGCACTGGCCCCACAAGAACTTATTTTCTTGTTTCTTTCTATATTCTACAATGACTTTCTTCTCATCTCTGGCACAAATAATCCAAGTATCTTCATCTTGCCCTTCAACATTTATTGACTCAATACTATGTGCTTGGCAATATGCTAAAAGTTGATTAGGTATTCAATGCCAAGCAAAACACAGTTTTTTGTATTCAGGTCCCACCTCATCTGCTCCCACATACTATGCTAACTCTCTCAGTGGCTTTATAATTCTCCTGGTATTCATTTTTTGCACGCTCATTTTCTCATACTCCACAACTAATAGTAAACAAATCCTGCTGATCTGTCACCCATGTCAGGTGATCCCTTCCAGCACCATCCTGAGACCCAGGCAAAAAGAGTCACTGCCCTGGGCCTTACACTTTAGAGAACCCACTTTGGCCCCCACTTTGGTCCCCTGGCCAGGTACTTCTTCTTGAAGTGAGAAGTCTGCAGAGTTCAGGGCATGCTCTCTGACTCCTCAGCACTCTACCACAGCAGATTCCCAGGATCCCAAATTTACATACAGAGCCCTGAAGTATCGTCCCCAGGGCAGACAGGGATGCAGGCAAACCCACCTCTAGGCCCAAGGGGCAGTCAAGAGATAGCTTGCAAGGGGTGAGGCAAGGTTGCCTGGGAAATAGGCATGGGGACATGCTATGGCAAAGAACCTAGGATATGGGCAAAAGGAGGTAGACTACAGGAGAAGAACAAGGTGACAGAAGGCCAATTCTCCTTTGGCCACTATATTCTAGAACAGAACTCCTAAAAAAATCTGTAAATTCTAAATGATCATCCACCTCATTACAAAGCTATATCAGTCAAATTAGGAGGTAGAGCACATTTTATTTAACAGTTAACTGATTTGTAGCATTTAAATATTCAGAAATATAATGAGTGAACTTTCATTTATACTCTTGCACCCATTAGTGTTAAGGATGGGCCTGGTTTCTACATCCTATTTCTACTTATGGTTCACCAGTTTCAATCTTCATTATAGCACATCAAATATTATTATAAAAGTAGTGGCAGTAGAAGTAGTAGTAGCAAAAGTAGCACTGATAATACCTCCCACTGAAGGTCCTAGCATAGTACCAGGCACCTAACCTTTACTAAACTCTTTCATGCCTTTGTGTTACTTACAACCCAACTAGCTAGTTATCTTCATCTTATCCATGAGCTGAAAATAACAGAGTGGCAGAAGAAGGATCTTAACCAAAGTCTTTCTGAATTAGTAGCCCAGGTTCTTCACCCTATCCTTCCTTTCTGATGATTAAAACAGGTTTACCTGGCTTCAGACCACTCCCTGCTGATCTACACAGATCTGCCAGATTAATCTCTGTCAAAGACCTCTTTCACCTTAACATTTGATCCAGTTTTTAAAATATCCACTACTGGTTATGCTCTATCCAGTTAAGTTCCAAATTCTTAGCCTGATTTTTCTTTCAACCCCATCTGCTTCATTATTTCCTAAAACAACTCTTCAAATTCTTCACAGCAAAATCATACCTTGCCTCTACCTCCCACAAGCTTAACCCCTTTTCCACATCCCTCAGCCAATACACCTCCCTAAAAACTTTTAAGATCCATCTCATGCTTTACCTCCTCCCTAAAGACTTCTCTAACTACTCAAGCCCAGAATCTTTTCTCATCCCCAATTTTCTATATTCGCATAATACTGAGAGTCTCTGATCGCTCAACAAGTAAGTAAGCTATGAACTTAGGGTGTCAACCACAAAGGATATGATATACCTTATGACTTCATGTCACTTTATGGAGTTCCTCTTGTTGGAAGACACCATAGGGGAAACTGGTAAAGTGGCTCTAAAGACAAAGCACCTGGCTGATAATCCGCCTTCATCATATATTAGCACAGACTTTGCTGTTGAACTTGTACAGTAAAGTAACTACCAGCAGTTCATTTATGATTAGCAGACTTTTTGGTCCCTGAGCCCATTTTGATCTTAAATTTTTTGAGAACACCAAAGAACTTTTGTTTATGTGTATTATATCTAGTTGTGCAATGGCATATATTCAACAGCCAGCTTTCCCTCCTTTACCATCAAAAATGCCAAATTTGTAGTTTCAACTCATTTCCATGATGTAAATACTCCCAATGTGGCTAGTTTCAAGCTAGCAATGTGATATCTGAATAAAGATTTAAGAAGAGATTAACAACACTGGCTCTCTCGAGCTGGTAAGAACAGGCTTCAGTAGGTCACTACTTATATCTATCCATTTAACCATATTAGAAAACAAAATGGAAGGAGAAAGTCCAAGATGGTGGCATAGAAAGATCCTAAACTCACCTCCTCCCGTGGATAAACCAATGCTACAGCTACATACGGAACAATTCCCTATGAAAAAGACCTAAAAATTAGCCAAACAACTTCTGCACAGCAAACAGTAAAAGGGCAAACAGTAAAAAGGCCACGTCAAGATAGACAGCAGAGGCAGTCTCACCAAAAACCTCATCACAGTGTGGCAACCTGCAACAGGGAGGGATCTCACAAATTCAGAGCTTCTCCCTGAAGAGCGAGGGGTTCATGCCCTGTATCAGGCACCCCAACCCTTAGGACCTGCAACAAAGAGACAAGCCTCCAAAACATCTGGCTTTGAAAACAATGAGGCTCACATCCAGGAGACCCATAGGGCTGCAGGGAGCAGAGATACTTCTCTTAAAGGGCTTGAGTGCAGATTCACTCACCCTGGACACCGGCACAAAAGCAGCAGTATGAAAATGCCTAGACTACATGTGAAGAAGATTCATTTGCTCGTCTTAGAGCAACCACCAGAGGGACAGAGCCTGTTGGAACTCTCTAGGGGGGGCGGAGGAGCTGGTTAGTTTTCTGCTCTCCCTCTACCGTGATAATGCTAGCAGGTATGCCCTGACCCTGTGCTCTCCTGCGGCCCTGCAAAAGCTGGTGGGCACACCCCAGCCCTGAGCTCTCCTGCTGCCTCATTAAAGCTGGCAGCCATGGGCAGTATACACGGGGGACACTCCTTGATCATGTATCTGGCTCTGGTGGCCAAGGGGCTTGCATTCTTGGGTCCCACAGGACTGTAACAATAGGAAAGACAGTTGTGGCAGGCTACCATCCCCAAGGCACCAACAGGTAGCAGACTGAAACATACCCCAGATCTTTCTGTGAAAAAGGACAATTTACTTGTCCTATAATTTTATCTTGAGGGGCAGAATTGAGGCTTGCTACACAGAGCTAGA